TCTTTGTTCCCATTTTAGATTCTTGTTAAAATTAGAAATTATTTTTTTATTTTCTTATTCTGTTAGATTTTGAGTTTTCTTGTTTAACCTATTTTATTTTATATTATTTTAAAAAAATATTATATTTATAATAAATTAATTTTAAATTTTTTATATAATTTTTATAAAAAATAAATATTTACAATATCACAATTTTTATTTGTTATTAATTAAATATATATTTTTATTTATTAAATTTATATTAAAATATACCTATAAAAGAAAAGTTTAATATTGTTTTCTTGATATAAAATATTTATATTATTATTATTATTATTACTATTATTATATGTTATGATACTGATCTAAATATTAATTATTTTTTAAGTTTTTATTTTAAAATATTTATAAATATAAAATATATAATTTTATTAAAAAATATTAAATTAATTTTTATTTAATTAATTTAAAATAATAAAATTTTAATTATAAATTATTTTTAATCTTCAAAATATAATTATTTTATTAAGACAGAATTTGATATATAATAAATAGGAATAATAAAATCTAAAAAAATATAATAAAATAAAAATTAATAAAGATAAATTAATATTAATTATTATTAAGATTGATTTATAATATTTTAAAAAGGATAAAAAAATTAATTTTGTATGATATTAAATTGATTAAAAAAATTGAAAAAAAATGATGAAAAAAATAAAAAAAATGTAAAAAAGTAAAAAATAAAAGAAAAAGAATAATATAATAAATGATAAAATTGAGAAAAAAAATTTAGTAAAAAAAATAAAATATAAAAAAATATTTTATATATAATATGAAAAAATAAATATTTTAAAAATAAATATTTTAAAAATATTAATATTTTAATATTTAAATTTAAGTATAAAATCGATAAAAAGATGAAATTATATTACTTGATATTTGTCTTTTTCTAAATTTTTAAAGTAGAAAAATTTTAAACTTTTCTCATCAATTCTTTTTTTTTTTTTCGTGAAATTTAAACTAATGATTGATCCCGCAAATATGACTTCAATCAACTTCACTATTGCAATGTAAAAAAAATACAGGTCATGAAAATCTACGCGAAAATTAAAAATATTTAAGATATTTTTTTTATCATTTTACGTAGATTATAAAAGTAAAAAAAGAAAAAATAGGACCCCGAAAAAATGTGTCAAAGCTAAATCATGCCTCATCCACAGAAGGACTCATTGATTGTGAATGACAAAGTTAAGTTAATGTATTTAATTTATTCCTTGGGTTTTGTACAAAGTTTAAATGATGCATGTAATAAAAGTTAAAAATTTGATTTTTATTTAATTAGTTTAAAATAATAAAAATTTTAATTATAAATTATTTTTAATCTTTAAAATATAATTATTTTATTAAGATAAATTTTAATATATAATAAAATAAAATATAATAAAAATAAATTATAAATAAAATATATTTATTATTATTAAGATTAATTTAAAATATTTTTAAAAAAATAAAAATAAAGAAAAATTATTTTTGTGTGTTATGAAATGGGTTGAAGAGATTACAAAAATTAAATTAATTAAAAAAATTAAGGAAATATAAAGAAATAAAAAAATAAGAGAAAAGATAATATAATAAATAATAAGATAGAAAAGGATAAAAAAATATCTTAAAAAAAATATTTTAAAAATATTAATATTTTAAAATGTAAATTTAAATATAAAATAGAAACTGATGAAATAGGATATTATATTATTTATTTCCGTCGTTTCTAAATTTTTAAATAGAAAAAAAATCAAACTCTTCCCAATCAATGCTATTTTTTTCGTCGTAAACTCGAAATGAAGACCGATAAACTCGAAATGAAAATCTATTTTCATGCAAATATTAGTTTAATCGGCACCGCAACGTAAAAAGAAATGTAGGTCATAAAAATATACGCGTAAATTAAAAATATTTAAGATATTTTTTTTATCATTTTACGTAGATTATAAAAGTAAAGAGAGAAAAAATGGGACCCCGAAAAATGTGTCAAAACTAAATCATGCCACATCCACAAAGGACTCATTGATTATGAATGACAAAGTTAGGTTAATGTATTTAATTTATTCCTTGGGTTTTGCACAAAGTTTAAATGATGCATGTAATCCTCAGGCAACAACATTAATGGATAGTATAAATTTGTACACGGAGCAGTTGAAGCATTTATAGATTCTTCTCCAAACCTACTCCTTTTTCAAATTTCCATTCATTTTTATTTTATATTTTCTTATTTTTGAATTACACACGTCCACCCTGCACATAGGATTAAAATTCGACGGAAATAAAACAAATATATCATTTTCCAATTTAGTTATAAATGAAAACAAATGACAATTTTTTTTCCAATTAAAAAAAAAAATATAAGAAAGAACATAAAACTAAAGCTAGATTATTTCGTCCATAGTGCACCTAACCCGCAATACAATATTTAAGAAAAAAAGAAAAAGAACTACATGAAAAGGAATAAAACCTCTCCAACAACTTTTTAATCCATAATTGATAAGAATCTATCTTTATTAACGAAACTTTATGATTGAATAGGTGATTAAAGTCCTTTATTCTACAACAGCATTAGTTATTTGTTGAAAGAAATTCTTAGTTAAAATGAACAAAAACTTTAGGAAAGAGTTTAAATGATGTGATGATTGAAGGTGATATTATATTTTCATGCCACTATTAGTAAGATACCAATTCTATTAGCCAAAGGTTAATTGATGAGTTTGAATTATTTATTTCTTTTAATTATGTTATCAAAGAGCAATGAAAGTTTGGTGGGTATTTTATCTTACTGAACGTTGTATCGAATTGAAAGTAAAAGGTAAGATTTTTTGTTCGAAATCAGCATCGTATTCGTTCTTCTTTTTCCTTTAATCAAACACTGGAATGAGTATCTGTCATGCACCGATTATCCACTATGCGAAGTAGTAGCATTTTTAATGATGGAACCGTTGTGCTTTCGCTTTCGTCGTTGCTCATGCACGTTGCACTCAATCACTCAAAGTTGAAACTGCTACACCACCAAGTCAAGATGATATCTCGTGTCGCGCTCAAAACATATGCTTAATTAATATATACACCGATTGAAAGGAAAAGCTTACGTTTGTTTTGTAACGTTCGTGCATATGTATTTTCTTTTTGTTAACATAGATAACTCCAGAGAGAAAATGGTTCTTTTGAATACCTTTGTGAGTTCTCACATTATAGCCGCAGCATGCTTTCACTCGAAGTTCATTTTTCACACTGGGTCTTCTTTGGGGACATAGGGGACCCTGCCATAAATTTTTGGGGACAAATTATAAAGATGCAGTAGAAAGATGGAGAGAGAGCCTAGTAAACTGGTATCGTTACAAGATACCATGATGATACAGATTGCTTGTTCATGTTTGATATCAAGTACCAAACACATGGGAAAGTTACAAGGAATTCAATAATTCCACAATTTTCGGTTTGACATGTATCACTATAATTGTGAACCCTTTTTTGTGATAATACTATCAAGCATTATGAACAAGAGAAACTAGTATCTTACCAACTCATGTTGTATACTAGGAATTCAATAATGATTCCACAATTTTCGTTGTTTTCAATCACTAATGTCAATCATTAAAATGATAGAAAACACTAGTATTTATCTAGTGATGAGGTAATTAACATGGTTAATTTCCCTGATTCAGTTTCCAAAAGGGAAGTTATATCAGGAGTTGGGAAAGTTCTGAAATGTTTCAACCACAATTGCAACCCACTCAGATGCATGTTCCTTTGGTCAGCTACAGTATGCAATCATGTTCAAGTGGTCAAGTGTTCTGTTCAAGCATAATTGACATCATGTGTGTGTGCATATTCGATCTTGCTTCCAAGTTCCCTTTCCTATTGTCGTAAAGAATAATTTACCAGGCAGTTTCCAAATCGGTTACGCATCAAGTTCCAGACCTATCAGTTTATAATTGTTCATATTATAGCATCTTTGAAGTTGTTACTTTTGAAATAGTTTGTTGAACTTTGAATCTTTTATTTAAATCTTATATTATATGCATAAACTTAAGCATCACCGTCCTTACATATTGTGATGCGTATGGATGGTGTGCGAAAGTTTTGGCTTGAAAAAACTGTAAAAGCATATAGCAAGAGTTCACGAGTTGAAAATGCAGAGCACATCATGACAGACAGAAACGCGGTGAGATTGAGAGAATGTGTCTCCTTGGAAGTAATAGAAAGAAAATGAGGAAAAAAAAAGGGTGTATTTTAAAAGGGGGCAAAAAGAAAAACAAAGGGACGTCTAGTTGAAAGAGAACAAAATGAGCAATTTCTGTGCTCAGTTTTTGAGATGAGCTGAGAAGTGAAGGCAAGGTTCATGGACACACTCACATTATTATACTTTATTTCTTAGAGTCTGGTTTGGACATTGGGCAACAATAGGTGTCCCGTGAACTCCTCCCAGACCAATACAAGAGCATGTTTTGTGAGGTTTAAGGACCACCTCATCCTTTAGTTCACATGGCTTTGTAGATATGTGGAAAATCCAATTGCGCTTCCCTCTAATTCTTCTCCCCCTCTAAAATTTAGCACCATGCACAATCTGGATCATGTCTCTTTTTGTCTCCTAATGGACTCTTCTAGTGTCAACAATAATTCAACCAAAAACAAACATCCACAACCACCCAAACTCACACCTCCACACTACAACCATACACCATCAATTTCAAAAGCTAATAATCATAACTTTAATCATCCTCATCGTCGTCATTTCCAGTGAATAATAATCATCATATTCATATAAATTAATATACCTTCTTCTTAGTAAAGCCATAGCTTAAACTTTTCTATGAATTAAAAAAAAAATACATAACTTAATTTTCAAATGAAAAACAAATCATTCAAAGGCCGCTAAGTTTTCTTAGCGTTTTTAACAATTTAGCTTTAATTTCCTATAGAAGTGAACCAGGGACTCTTCTTATTCTGAGATTCTGAATTCGCGATTCTCAATCGGCAATGGTCCACGCCATGTCGTTCTGGAAGATCCAGTGGCAAACCTCGATCCGACCCGGGGCGGACCCGAGGGAGAGAAAGGCTCCGTGGGTGGGGCTCCAATCGGAGGTGTCCAAGTGACAGATGGCAACGCCGCGGTTGATCTTGACCTTGGATTTCGGGTCGAGAAGATCCGCTTGGTAGACCCGAACCTTAGGAACCGCGTGGCAGTAATATAGCAGGTATGGGAACAGGCTCTGGTGGCAGGACACGGATTGGGTGACTTTACCACCGTTGATTCCCGTAACGGGCCCCACCATCACACTCTTCTTCGACCCCTTCACGTTCTCCGTGCTTCGAACGGCGACGTTACGCCCTAGAACGGATGTGGCAAAGTCGATCATGTCTTCCAAAGATCCAACGCACCGTTTTGTCTCGCCGCGACTGGGCGCACGCTCGCATTCCTCTAAGCTCTCGCGCATCATGCTCTCCATGGAACCGTTATCGGAGGCTCGGAACACGCGCTTCAAGTCCTCGATCTTGGAAACCGAAAACGGTAATTTGGACAAAATGCTCCGGGGCAAAAACGACCTTTCCGGCATTTTATCTCTTATGTCAGGCATCGGCATCACCGTCCCTTCCTTCATCATCTTCTCCCTGAAGAATTTACCCGCCTCCACCCACTTATTTACCATTTTGCCACTCGCCGCCGAAACCGAAACGCTCAGCGTCGTGCTCACGTTCGTATACATCGCGAACGAGATTGTGGCACCTTCTTTTGAATACTCCTTGAAGGTGTTGTTCACTCCGTAGGAGGTGAAACCCACCTTCGTTTCACTGCTAGAGGATTTCGCGTACGAGATGAACGCGTCGGTGCCTTCGTTGAAGGATTTCCCGTAGCTGCTGAAACCGATGTCGCCGGTGTTCGCTGATTTCGCGTACGAGGTGAAGGAGTCCGCGCCCACGTTCGCCTTGTCGCGGTAATTGGAGAACTTCTCGCTGGCGCCGTTGCCGCCGGCGGCGTAGTTCGAGAACGTGTTGGTGGGGTTGTTCATGTCCACGCCGTAGCCTTTGAAGGTGTCGTTAGCGGCGTTTGCGGTTTCGGCGTAGTTGGAGAACCCGGAGCCGACAACGTTGGACTCTGTCCCGTACGAGTTGAACGCGTTGGTCGGACCGTTGCCATTTTTTCCGTACGAGGAGAACGATTGCTGCCCGGCATTGCCGTTTTCGGAGTAGGAAGTGAACGACTGGGTTCTCCCGTTGGCATCGTCGGAGTAGGAGGTGAAATCTAGGTTCGGGACGTTGGTCTCGTCGGAGTAGCCCTTGAACTCGCCTGCGCCGCCGGTGGCTCCGGCGGCGTAGGTGTGGAAGCTCTGCTGCACCACGTTCCCGTCGGTGCCATAGCTCAAAAAACTGTCCTTGTGCCCGGCAGAGTCCCTGCTGTAGCGCCGGAAATCGTTCACTGGAATATTCTCTCCCTCGGAGTAGTTCTTGAACGAGTCCAGTCCCCCGGGTCGACCCGTCCCGTAGTTGGTGAAGTTCTTGTCTCTGTACACAGCGAAGTTCGCGTCCTTGTCGTGCTTCTCGAGGCTGGACCCCACTTCCGGGAAGCAGAGGAGCTTCGCGGCGGCGCAGAATTCCGGCAGCCGCGTGGTGAGCGCGTTCTGAGTGGCGAGTTTCACAAAAGCCGCGGACTCCACCGCCCCCAGGGGCGACGCTTTCGACAAAAGAAACTGCGGCTTCGGCAGCGTGCTGCGGATCTCTTTGTCCCAATAACGAATCGCGTAGGCTTTGGGCGTAAACGGGTTTTTCTCTCCGTCGCCGGAGAAGACCACCTGCATTGAATGAACAAGACCCTTTTCAGAAGTAGCAATGGCAGGATTAAAACAATTGGAAAAATCGAGACTTGGAACAGTGACAGTGCGGGAAAAGCTGTGCTTACGCTGAGAAATGAGAAGAAGAAGATAAAGAGACAGAGCAGCGTGAGTTGTTCGTTCATGTTATTCTCACTCCTTTCACTCTTTTTTTTTTTTTCTCCTTTTTCTCTATTTTCCCCTTTTTGTTTTAATATGTTCCCGAGAGTGAGAAATGAAGGGAAGAAAGAAGGGTAAGAGATTTGAAAAAGTCTGTGGTCTTGTTGAGTTGTACACAGAAATTTATATTACGTGTGAGTGTGTGTATGTGATATATATATAGAGAGAGAGAGAGAGGAGTGTGTTATGTGAAGAGTGAGTGTAAGAATGTGACTTTATGTTGGGCCTTCAATGTTCCATGCTCCTGTGTGTGAATGCTGAGAAGTTCCTGCAATGCACATTCACAAAAATTCAAAAAACTTACTATTAATTTGCTGTTGACATTAAACAATTGATTACTGAACCTAATCACAGTGCATGAGCTGGGAAGAGTGAGTACAAATGGTGTAAAACAAAAATAAGTGAAGTAACTAGTAAGAGGGTGAGGTAAGTAAGGTAAGGTAACGTAGAATAGATACCACGCTCATAGTAAAGAAACAAGTGTAACAAGTCAATAACAGTCATAAAGGAAAATTTAGAGTGGGCATTGAATTTTTTGAGTATGGATGGAAGATAGAGGATTCACCTTGATTGCTGCACAGTTTTGCATGAACCACAAAAACACATGGGGATATGGGCGTATTTATAGCCATTCAAAAAGTGAAAACCCAAACAACGCGCATTCTAATTCTAATGCAGCACACGCGGTAACAAATTAAATCAGGAATCTGCTTCAACTCTCTTTTTCTTCGCATCACTTAATTTTTTCCTGGTTTTACCAGTAATAAATAAAGTATTGGTTTAAAAAGGAAAAAAGATTGGATATTATTGATATACACATCACCACATCAGAACAATGTCTCAACTATGAGGCACCACAGAGAACTTGATGATCTCTGATACAATTCAAATGCATTCTTAATTGTGAAGTAATTTTCAGTTGTGTTTAAGTCAACCAAAAATCCAGCTATGTTCCACTTCTTCGGGTAAAATTGCCTACCATAACACACTGATATGATGAAAGTTAATATAAAAAGGATTATGTTCATGTTGAAAAGATAAATATAGTACTAAAATATTCTCTTTTCAGGTTTTGTTTAATGCCAAAGTTACTCTAATTAAAGTATTCATTGATTTAGACTCAGTTTTTATCAACTTTTTGTTTGTAACTTTCTTTTCCTAATTGAGTTTAATAATTATGTAAAATAATTTTATAATTTATATTAACCAATAGTCTAGTTTCTATTTTATCATGTTTCAAAGGAAATATCTAACACTTACTTTTTTTAATTCACTATAATTATAAGTTTGATTTCTGTAACTTTTAATAGTTTTAAGTAATTTAAATCTAATTAACAAGAACGTATTAAAACACGTATCTTGGATAATAATTGATGCTAATAAATTATATATATATATATATATATATATATATATATATATATATATATATATATATATATATATATATATATATATCAATCATGTATTAACTATTGACGTCGATTTATTGTTTATTTATGGCCATGAGTCAAGTTTTGGCGTTTTAAACTTAAGGTCCTATATTTTTGAGATTGGATATAGGACTTTTATTTTAGTAATGAAGAAATTATTTAATCTCGAGAATTTCGTATAATTAAGAATTGTTATTCTAAATTTTTAAGTACAAGAATTAAGTCATTTAATATATATATATATATATATATATATATATATATATATATATAAAATAATATGATAAAATATTAGAGTTCAAATCCATTACCATTAAATTTTATTCTTAATTTTTATTCACTTGAACCTAATCAAGATTACTGTAATTTTTTAGCTAAAATAATTTTAGTTTTATTTTTTTTTATATTTAAATATATGTATATATATTAATATTTTTTTTAGTAATTATTTCTAATATGATCACCTGCTAATTTCTTTTATTCCTTTATAATTCAGTTTCAATAGAGAAAAAATGTAAGTAAAATAAAAATATTTACCTAACTTTTAAATCTTGAAGATAAGGTTTTACCTACTCTTTGAATTTTATATATATTATATAATTATTAAGAATTAAAAAATTGTTAACATTGTTTTACGTTTTTTTTATGTCACATAAGGATCACCTCATAATCAGAGTTGGAGATTTAGACCAAAAGGTTATTCCACGGTGTCAAATGTGCAAGAAAGACATATTTTGAGTTAGATTTGAGTCCAACTCTTTGAAATTAATTCAAACACGTTGGGTGAGTGTGTGTGAGAGAGAGTGAGAAAATAAAGTTATTATGGACTAAGTACAATTATGGCTCATACCAAAAGTGAGAAACTAATAATGGTTGTGTAATAATAATAATAATAATAATAATAATAATAATAATAATAATAATAATAATAATAATAATAAATAAATAAATAAACACAGGAGCATGCATGCAATATTAAAATATGGATTTAAAAAAATAAAATTGAAGAACATGGCAATTCTAAAAAGAATAGAAGGTTAAAATGACACGTTTCAGGGTTGGGAGAAAAAGACAAACAAAATCACAAGTGATGATGGTGAAGGACAGGTAGGCCACATGGCAGTGGAACATTGGTGAGAGAGCATGTTTATTATCAAATTTAACGCGTTTAGCCGCTAATGATTTTGTTTTGTAATTGCCCTAACCTTTTCGTGATCATATTTAGTGTTTGCATGAAGAAATGCATGATGATGATGATGGTGAAGGACAGTGACAAAGTCTCGTGAAAATGGCACAATTTGCAATTTATTGAACAAGAAAATGTTACTTTAAGGATTTTACTTGTTTGCATTTGTGCTTAAGGACGTGTTCGGTCAATTACTTTGAGATATGCTTTGTTTTAACCATGTCACTTACGATTGTGACCAAATGTTTTTTTTTTTTTAATTCCGTAACACCAAAAATTTTAATTCTATGTCCCAAGTGTTCTTCAAAAAGAATCTGTAAGACATATAATAAGATTATAGATTATATATCTCGATATCCCTTAGAAATTAATTTTAACATGAGAGTTTTATCGTAGATATATCCTCATAATTTAGAATTAATTATTATATACAAGATATTGTCTGTTTTTGAATTTTAATATTTTTATAGATTAAAAAAATATATAAAATTATTATTAATCTTTACTCTTAAATAATACACTTATAAATATATTGAAAAAAATGATGGTAATTTTTTTTATGTAAAAAATGTCATTGGGATTATATTATTGGTAGATATAGATTATGTTATAATAATATTAAGATGGATAAAAAAAATAAAAGAAAATATGGTTAAGAATGATAAATTATATATTTTGAAAGAGAAAGCAAATGAAAAATAAATAAATTTGAAAAAGCTTTGTGTGATCAGATACATGTGATGATGGACCCGCTCAACACACAAGGTCAATACTATAACAATGGAAAACAGGATGCAAAAGAATAAGGGGAAAATGACACAATAAAATCAATCTATTCGTGTAGATCAGATCAACCTAAACTCATTTTAATTATAAACTAAATTAATCAAATACAAAATCATTTAATTTAATTTAAATTATAATTTTTTTAAACTCCGTAGTATATTTTTTTGGCACATGGATTTTATACGAGACTCTGAGGATTGTTGGTGGGGGACAAATATTATCTGAAACTATCATTTGAATGTGACATGAGAATATTATAATATTTAAGAAATTGAGTCCTTACAAATATATACTGAGAAATCAACTTCAACATAAAAATGTTGAAATAAATCAAACTAAACTAAATGCTTGTATAAATTTTACAAGTTTGAAAATTTGATGTTTTTTTTAGAAAGAATTGATCATGTTGGCCAATTATATTATTAGTTTATATTAGAAAAAAAAATACAAAATATGGTTTTTACTAAATAAAATGTCGGTAATACAGACTAAAAAGATTGATTATTAAACAATTCAAGAATAATTAACACAATAATAATATATATAAAATATGTTATCTACTTGTAGAAAAATATAACTGATTAAGAAATTAAAGCTTTTAAAACTTTTCATAAACTAACATTGTTGTTGTATGTTAAGTTTTTAAAATTGTAAAAATTAATTTAATTTTCCAGAAAAATCAACTCATTTTGTCTATTCAATGTTTTTTTCTTCTTTTAAAATATTCAATATTTTTTTTATCTAATTCTTTAATCATTGTCCTTGAGGTAAACCCGTATAAAAAATTACACAAATGTGGTTAGGTCAGCTTTTGAGATTGTTACTTGGGTTCAATTAATTGCTTGAATAGATCGACACAATCGTAGCTAATTAAAGAACAAAACCCTTAGAAAGAAGAGAAAGGACATGAATAAACTCATCTTCTTATTTATGATAAATGTTGGTTTATAAAACTTGTGCCTTTCCTTTCTCTGTTTGATTCCTCTTTTCAGGTTTTGCCTTAATAACAGAACATGATCATTCAATCTTTAGTTCTTCCCATTCTTTATCTGTAACTGTAATAGGAAAAAGAAACCAAGTTGAAATCAGAATGATTATAGATAATGTGTGACTTTTAATGTATCTGTTCACAAACTAAACAAATCCACGAGCTTCTCTCTTCTTTTCATAAAAATTTCACCTTTTGATCAATATTTATTTCAAGAACTTTGTCAGCTAAACTTTAATTTATTTTATCATTCTTATTTATATGCAAGTCAGTCTTAACTTTAATTTTTCAGCAAAGTTTTCATCATTAGTGCAACGCATCCAAATGCTAGCCTCTCTTGCACTGGTTAGTTAATTGTTAACAAAAAGTTAAAGATAGTGAAATCTACATTTTGAAAGACCAAGTTCATGTTTAGAAAGGAGTAAATTTTCTCTTTCATATTCAGTATTATGACTGTTGTTAAGATTTTAATATGTCAAAAATGACGAAAGAAATGGCACTAGCACCAACTTCCCTATATATAGAATCTATCAATCAGTTTCAGAATCGCAGCACAAGAAAAGAAAAATGAAA